TTTGCCCGCAAACCCCTTGCTCAGATTCTCCACCAAATGTGAAAAATGTACAAGAATGTGTAATGTAGTTCAGTGGGGAGGAAATGCTTGATTTTTTTTCCTTTTCCATATGCAAGAATGAAATAAGTGAAGGTAAGTGGCCCTACTGTGTCAAGTGACATTGGTATTCATGCTAAGCAGGAAAAACTAGATTTCCTCAGTTTTTATATCCTGTTAGTACATTGTGATGTACACTGTGATGAGACAAGCTGGTATTTATCCAATAAAAATTATCTGAGTAAGCCTATATGAAAGACTTGTTATGAAGAACGCCTACTGAATAAAGATATGAAGTTTTATCATCAGAATATTGCAAAACCTTTTTCATTTTGAGTGTATAAACTTTCACACATTGAAAGTTTATGAGTGAGAATTTGTAGTTCAAATACATTTATCAAATCCTGGAATAATGGAGTTGGAAGAGGCCTATAAGGCCATTGAGTCCAAACCCCCTGCTCAAGGCCACATCACGGTAGATATGACAGATGGTTTTCTAATTTTTCTCTTGACACATCATGGTAGATCTGACAGATGGTTTTCTAATTTTTCTCTTGAATGCCTCAAGCATCATTGCCTCCTGAGGTAATTGGTTCCGTTGTTGTACTGCTTTGTTAGGATGTTTTTCGTGATATCCAGCCAGAATCCTGTAACTTGAGCCCATTATTATATGTCCTGCATTTTGGATGACAGAGTACAGATCCTGCCCCTCATCTTTAGAAGAACCTTTTAAGTATTTGAAGAGTGTCATCCTATTACTTACTTACTTACTTACTTACTTACTTACTTACTTACTTACTTACTTACTTACTTACTTACTTACTTATTATTTCAGTTCAATACACCACACACATTAGGCATTCATGAAATACAGAATCAAATGGTTAGTATGTTAAAACCAGAGCAATCTAACCATATAAAAACAGAGAATGCCAGATCATTAATAAAAATGCATAAAGTAGAAAACATAACAAAAATACAGTTAACAAATAAGTAAGCAGAAATGTAGGAGAACCTCAACTCAACTAGGGTTAGCGGGGAAGGCCTCCCTGAAGAGCCATGTCTTCAGTTGCCTCATAAATATCGCCATATTATTACGGCACCTTAAAAGGCCAGGCAGTGCTCCTCCAAGAGCTGATCCCATAAAGATGGAGCCACTGCGAAGAAGGCCCTACCTCTTGTAGAAGGTTTATGGGCCTCCCTTGGGGTGGCTCCCTGGAGGAGTCTCATCTGTGATGACCTGGTGGGTCAGGCAGTTGACATTGGGGCAAGTCACTCTGACAAGTAATGTGAACCCAAACCATGGAAAACTTTGTACATGAGATTCCTGTCTCCTCTCACTCTTCTTTTCTCAGGGCTAAACATGCCCCATTCTTTCAGCCTTTCCTCATAGAGCTTGGTTTCTAGTCTTCTGATCATCCTTGTTCTCATTTCAACTTATTCCATATGCACACATAAAACAAAGCTGTAGACCATGGTTTCTAGTTCTCTGATCATCCTTCTTCTCATTTCAACTTATTCCATATGCACACATAAAACAAAGCTGTAGACCAGGCTTGTCCAACCTGCGGCCCGAGGGCCGCATGCGGCCCAGGTCGGCTCATAATGCGACCCAGTGCAATTTTTTATTTTAAAAGAAATTCCAAAGTTTCTCTCACTCTTCTTTTCTCAGGGCTAAACATGCCCCATTCTTTCAGCCTTTCCTTGGTTTCTAGTTCTCTGATCATCCTTCTTCTCATTTCAACTTATTCCATATGCACACATAAAATAAAGCTGTAGACCAAGATTATTGTCCAAAGCTACAAATACTGTCTAAGAGCCATAATCAGGTCAATTTTTTAAAAAGGGAATCCAAAAAACTGCTAGAACTTGGCCTTAATGTGTGTTGAACTAGATCTCCTAAATCCTTAGTCAGCATCACCACTGGAAACATGAGCAGAGGAAGATGGGAGTTGTAAACATATGGGCGATGCAGAGATGGGGATTGCTAATAAAAGGCCGTGAGGCAGTCTGTTATACTTGAGCAATAGATTCTGCTTCTTCTGGTTGGCTCCCCATTTCCAGTGGTCTTTCACACAGTTAAAAGTCCATTCTCCTCATCAGCAAGTAAGATTTAAAGCTGTCCGTAGGAACTGGATGAGATGTGGTTACTGAAAATGAAAGTGCTATTCTGTACTTTATTCCAGATTCCGTGCCTCTTTTAACTTAGTGGTTCAAGAATTTGCCTTCTTTTGTTATTAGATGTACTAACTGTTTAAGTTATCTGGCTGTGAACCAAGAGATAGGCAGAACAGAAGACACAGGATTTTAGCACCTGCCTCCTACATGGTAGTTTCCAGAACATCACATTCAGCCCCATGCAAAAACTAGGTTCAGAAAGAAAGATTTTGACTGTGGAACTCAGAGGGCTCTCCCCCTGGGTTTAAGTCAACTAAGCCTTGAAATATTTATATCTTGAATGGCTTCCCTGAGATATCTGCAAAACTTCAGGTCTGGTCTCTTGATAGTGTATAAACATGTCCCCAAAAGCAGAGAAAATGGTGAAGGACGAAGTGTTAACTAGCCAGAAATTGATAGGATGTTTCTCTCTCTCTCTCTCTCTCTCCCCCCCCCCAACAAATGCATCTGTAAACCTTTGGCATTTGTCACAATGCATGCAGGGTGAAGTTCAGGTGCAGAAGAGTGATCGTTTCAACATGTTTGAGAAAGCAGGCATCCAGTTCTTGGAGATCCAGAACGCTCAGCTGGCCGACGTCGGAATTTACACTTGCACTGTGATGAATAGTGCTGGGAAGGCTTCTGTGTCTGCAGAGTTAATGGTTCAAGGTATGGTTAAAAGCAGACTAAAAGGGAAAGAATGCAAGCATGCCAGCTGAAAGTTTTCCAAGAGTGGAGCCAGTTCCTTCTGTCCTGATCCCCTGCCCCCTTTGCTGTCTCCAGAATGACATTTAGATGGGAGCCCATGAATGCAACTAGACAGTCAAAATTAAAAAAAAGAAAAAGAAATTTTGCAGGTTAATCTAGTAGAAATAGACTACAGGGAGATGCAGCTGTTTTTATCTCTATTTTAGTAATGTAGGAAATCTTGATCACACATCATTTCAGTCTGTGAAAGTTACATTTCTATGATAAGAGCAGCAAGATCTGTGTGGGGGGGGGCACGCACTACCTGTTCTCAAAGTTGTTCAGGACAACTTATGTTCTCCTGGGATTTTATCCGTAACCCTCACGCAGGTATGCAGCACAATAACCCTTTGAGGTAGGTTGGACTAGGCCAAGGTCATTTTGTATCAACTTCATGGCAAAGTAGGGATTTAAACTCAGATCTTGTGGGTCCTATTCAGTGTTCTGTCTATTATACCAGTGTGATGTTGCCTGTTTCAGACTGTTAGTGTAAAAATTGTGACGGGGAATGGTGTTTTGCCCCTGTTTTGCCTGCTGTTCTGTTTTCTGGATGTACAAGAATTTGGATCTGGGTATCCTCAGCCAATGTCCAGCAGTCTACTTGCTCTACAATACTAGCACTGGTGTTTATCCACTCACTCACTTGGCTATCATTCTTTTCTACTTTTAAATGTTGGTCGGCTTCCCATTTTTTTTAGGGGTTTGTCATTTCTTGGAGTTCTACAGGCCCAAGGCTTTGAGTACAAAAGAACACTATAAATTTGGCATGCTTGTCTATATCAACTCATTTTACAGCTCCAAGCTCTCATTTGTAGTTCTTTTCATTTCCCGGCAAAAATCAGATAATAAATGAAACTGTTACACAATCAGGATTATTGTTATTTTAAGCACAACCATGGAGATTCCTTGCATGGATAAGCTTTTTCCAAGTTTGTCCTTCCCCTGTGCTCTTTTTCTACAGAAGGGAGAGAAAATGGCCTCTTGATAGGCTTGCGTAATGTTGCTTCATCTACAGAGACAGCTCTAAGTGTTTTTGAAAGCTTTCTTATCTGACCATAATTCATTTCAGATTTCAGCCCATGATCAGAACAAAGTATTTGAAAAGCAAACAAACAAATTTCTAATTTTTCACGCTATTCCTCTTTTCTAATTATTCAGAAAACAAACAAGCACAATCATTTAAAAAACACTGAAAAGGTTTTGCTAGACAAGAAAGTATGTAAAGGTACTTTGGACAGCATGGCTTTCTTTTCTGATTCATGCATTTCTTTTAGATCTGAGACATCTGAGGAGAATTCTCCCCTCCACTAACCCATAGCTCAATTACCTTGTGAGTATAGAGGTAGGGTTTGACTCTTGTACCTTTACAGTTGAATTGAAACGTGTCTCTGGATCCAACCCTGTAATGCTGCTCTCAGTGCCAAGCAAGGATGAAAAGGAAAATATTGAGAGCAGCTCTGGCACTTCTTCAGGGATGATAGGACTGATGAGAACAGCAGGACAAGACAAGACAAGACCTTCCTTCGCGTTAGAGGTCAGAAGCAGGCTGCATTTTGGGATTTGGAAAGATGCCAGTATAGTAAAAGACAAGTCATTTGCAAAATGAGGAACAGAAAGAAGAAAGTACTAAACATAAAAGCTGCAACATGTCTAAGATAAAATAATCATATTGTGACCATAAAAGGCCTTGAACCATGCTCTTATGTGAGACAATGAGTTTGTGCTTTTCAACTCCAGTTAGAACCAAGGAGACAGTCTATGGATGCAGGGGGTAAAGTTTTAGCATAGAAATCAACAACAAGCAAGAAAATTGCAATCAAAACTAAATTCTAAAGCACTGTATAGGAGTATTTATTTATGTAATAGAGCATACTGTTATATAACTGTGTCTGGAATGAGGTTTTGCCTTATAATAGTTATATGGAAAGCTTGGACATGCTACTGTTTACAACTGTGACTCAAATTATCCCCTGGAAATACAGATCTTTGGGAGTTCAAATCCAGAAAAAAATAATATTTCCAAATTCTGGTTATTTGCTGCCCAGTTACAGTGGGCACTGTGATGGGGGAAGAAGCACCGTTCCCTTCTGTTCCTCTGTAGTTTTGCAAAGCTTGCAGGGGTGATCTCTTGCTGTACTGAGATCTGCTTACATTTGTTCTGTTTATGCAGTTTGGATGTGCCTGTATAGTTTTAAAAATCTCACTTAGTGTGTTTGCTGAAACACAACATTCTGGAGCACTTTAATAAAACTGGAAAAGAAGCGGAGGACGGTGCTAAATTCCACCCCTGAGGTCTGCCTCAGATGGAAATGTTGGGTTCTCCCTGGAGAAAAGTTATTTCCAAGTCAGGATCTACTCAGTTCAGAATTTAGTCTGGAAATGGAGCAAGAGATGAGGTTTAGCACAATCTGAGGATTTGAAAGGACAAGGAATTGTCCTTCCTGTGGTACAGTTTGTCTGTATACCCTAGTCTGTTCAGCTAGCTAATGCCAGAATCTGCCAGGATATTCACAGGGCAGAAGGGCCCTGCTTCACTTATCTCTGCATTTAAATAGGGTAAGGCAAGCGCTCCCTCCTGCAACAAAATCTTGTAGTATGGAGTGTTATTCAGTGTTTCTACCTGTCCCTCACGCTCATATTTCTCATATTGTAGTATGCAATGTATGTTATCTGCTCACTGACCATAAACAAACATGGCCCTTGTTCCCCTTCCCTCTCTCCACTGTGGGTTATTTTGGGCTAGATAGGCTAGATGTATAATCACAGTAATGTTAAGACTTCTTTTCAAGCCCTAGTGACATTTAAGTCTTGGCTTTATCAATTGATTTCCAGGGACAGCTCTTCTACCTTCATTCCTGACGACATTTTTTTAAAAAAACACCTTGTCATGAAAAGAGAAGCTTGTCCTATCCAGTGTCCTTCCCCCCCCCCAGCCACTCTAGTCCATTCCCCTTCCTAACAACAGGCCTTTCTCTCGGCCCCACTGTCCTCACAGGTGTGTTTGGTGGGGACACAGGAGAGATGGCCTCCTCTGTGGCTGCTCCCAGACTCTGGCACCCCCTGTTGCTTTTGTTCACTCTCTTTTAGTGTGATATTTGTTTGATCCTTTTTTTTTAGTACTTGTATATTTACTGTCTTTAGCTTTAAATATTGTCTTTAATAATATAAACAACTTCAGGTCCTTCTTAAGGAAAAAGGCAGGATAAAAATCTTCTAAGCAAGCAAAGTTCTATTCCCTATTCATTCAGTGTGCCATGCCATTGCATCCTTCCCTGCCTCTTTTCTTTTTCTTTTAAACGTGGTTTGGCTATTTTACTCTCTATCTCCAGATGCTTCCTTGTTGTATATAGAGGGTGCTATTTTGGCTCCATAAAACTGGGAAGGATTCTGCTGTGCATAGAGGAAATGGTGGCAGGGGGTATTAGTGTGTACATGATGGCTCTTCTGGATTTCCTTTTCTTATTAGAAAAACTAAATAATTTCTTTGAAAAGCTTTGTGGAGAATAAGTGAAACTTATTAGCTCTGTTTGAGTGTTAATCTGATTTGGAAAGTCAGTGCCAACCATAGGGTCCTGAATGTACATGCTTGGAGAGAAATATACACAGATGCATTAGAATGTATCCTGACACCCCCAGGTACAACATTAGGTTTAATGTTTTCTGCGAAGCATCACTGAGAATGGGGTGGATGGCCATGGTAGCACCACAGACTGTATAATGGAATTGTTTCACAATCAAAAGAGTGATTAATTGGCCCTTTAGTGCAGTCAGAAATGTGAAACAGAAAACCAGCAGGCCCACATTAACCTTGAAGAGGCTGAAGGATAACAGTGAACTGTCTTAATTGAAAGTACCTTTTAAATTTTTATTACTTGATTACATATTTGGACTTTTTTGTGTATGATAAATATTTTATTAGGCTTTTCAGTCTGTTCATAAGCCAAGTTCAAAATGAGTGCATGAAGAATAACATACCTTCACTTTAGGGTCAAGTAAAAATCCAATATGCCATGTGGTGCAATCTTTGCATCCACATGACATACAGTGGTGCCCCGCATAGCGACGTTAATCCGTTCCAGGATTAACATCGCTATCCGGAATCATCGCTGTACGGAAATAAAAACCTCATAGAAATGCATTAAACTCTGTTTAATGCGTTCCTATGGGGGATAAACTCACCGCTAAGCGGAACTCCTCCATAGGGCCGCCATTTTCGCCGCCTCGGTAAGCGAGGCGCGAAAATGCTCCGGGTGGCCATTTCCCCCAAGCTGGGTGGCGGTGGCTTCGGATGGAGCGTGGGGGAACCCTCCCCCGCGGTCCCTCCGAAGCCTTTTCCCCCAGCTGGGCAGCGGTGGCTTCGGAGGGAGAACAGGGAACCCTCCCCCGCAATCCCTCTGAAGCCTTTTCCCCCAGCTGGGCGGCGGCGGCTTCCAAGGGAGCACGGGGAACCCTCCCCCGTGATCCCTCCGAAGCCTTTTCCCCCAGCTGGGCGGCGGTGACTTTTGAGGGAGCGTGGGGGAACCCTCCCCCGCGGTCCCTCCGAAGCCTTTTCCCCCAGCTGGGCGGCGGCGGCTTCCAAGGGAGTACGGGGAACCCTCCCCCGTGATCCCTGCGAAGCCTTTTCCCCCAGCTGGGCGATCGCAAAATCCGCATCACTATGCGGATTCGTCGTTAAACGGGGCGCTCGTTATGCAAGGCACCACTGTATATATCTCAAGGGAGCTACTTTGTTCTTTTCCTTTGTGGGAGGGGAGAAGCTTCTACTAGCCTTTGCCCTTTGGGGTTCCTGAAGTGGGGGAAGCTGAGATAACTCTGAGCAGAACCCCCCACTGCCACTTTCAACAGACTTGCTGGCTGAGTAGAGCAAGCCCCAATTCCGACAAATTGGGGGGAGCCAAGATGACTGCATATCTAATTAAGAGCACCACCAAGTTGTCTCTCAACAAGTGCTTTACTAATATACAAACAGCATCCTTAAGCTTCCTTTCAGAAAAGCTGTAAAGAAAAGTGGGGAATCCCCCTCATGTCTCCTCTTGCTTTGGGGAGGAAGCCTTCCATTATGAAAAAAATTCTTTAAAAGTTACATCAGCGCTGCCTAGGAAATTTTTAATTTTCAAATTTCCCAATATCATTAAGTGGTTAATCTGTCTAAACCACTGATGATATGGGGAAATTGAAACCAGCTGGCAAATTAAAAACAAGAACCTCCACTTTGATTCACTCCCAGCAGCCACAAGTCCTGGAAATGAGCCAAAATGGAACAATCTTACCTGCCTCTAAAAAAGAGTAACCCCTGACAGATACAGAGAAAGGTGTTGGTAGGATTACTCTAGCAAATATGTCATCTGATGGCCAACAAAGCGAATGAGCTAGCTCGTCCCTGCAGCAAACCAAAGAGCAGATTAGATGCCTGTGTAGTCTCCCTCTAAATTCATGTGGACAATGGGTAACTACCAATCACAGACTATTTCACAGGGGCAGCTCAGGCACTTCTGTGCTTCATTCCAAATTTTAGTGGGACTTGCTAATTCCAGTTAAAAACACCTGTGCTAATTAGGGAAGGTATGAGGAACTTCAAGGGCCACCCAGCCTGCCACTTTCCTTGCTACATTTATTTCCAGCCAGTCATTGGTGGTAAAGGAATTCTTCCCTTCATGATGCAATTAAATTTTTAAATCCCTGTGTTGGAACCAGTTTTAAAATTCTCACTGCAGCTCAGCTGAGATTTTTAGGTGTTACTGATGAGAAAGGAAGGAATCATCCTCTCCTTTTAAAGACTGCAACCTCCTCCCCCAGTTGCACCAGTCAAGGTATTTTCAAAGCCTGACTGGAGCTGGTTAGAGTGGTGTGTGCGAGAGCATGTGTATAATTTTAGGGATTTAAAGGTCAGTGCCTCCATTTTAAATTGATTTGGAAATGGATGCTTTCTAATGAGGCAGTATATCCTCTGAGGCCTTTATATTCCAGATGTGCCTCCTTTGTGGTTGTCTTTCCATTTGAGCTGGATTGGCAAAAGCTTCTGTGGCTGGAAATGAATTGTGTTTTGCTGACACAGGAAGAAGTGAAGATATTTAATGCCCGTTATGAATTCTCTGCAATTGTAGTTCCTGCGTCTTGAAACAGAAACCTCGATTTATATGCTCTGCTTAAAATTCCAATATTTGCTTTTATAATATATTTAATCTTTTCATCTTTCAGGTTCTGCCAAGAGAGATGTGAATACTCATTCTGTTTGGTATGTTTCCCTCCTACCTTTCCCTCTTTTGGGTTGATTCGTATTCATCAGATACGAATTGAAATACCCTTTTGACTTAAGCATCAGTCTTTTCCACTTCAATAAATCTTTTGTATCACTGAGTTCATAGAATGTAACATGGTTTATTGCAAGGAAGGGCAACATCTGTGATCCTCCGAGACTACATTATGACCCTTCCTGGGATGTAAGGGGCTCCCGGTGCCCCTTAAAAAAACCGCCACCAACAACAACAAAAAACATATTTTTGCTCATAAAGGCCCTTTGTGCCCTCTGTGGGGCATGGAGAAAATGTTGAAACATTTTGAGGGACCCCTAGTACTCCTGCCCCAGAATCCTAACTTTTTTAAAAAAATACACACACACACACACACACACACACATAAACACACAAACACACACAAACACAAACATCCACACATCATCTCTCTGTGTGTGTGTGACACTAGAAGGTGCAAAGTATCTTTTTCAGATAGTTTCTCCATTTTTTTGTAAGAGAAATTGGTGAGGGATGGGGTGCCAAAGGTAAAAGATTGTGGATACATTACTGGACCTCTGGAGATTTACCCACCAGGGATTCACTATATATACAAGATCCCTAAGAGAGGCTGTTTGCTTATTTGGATGGGTAGACTGAACCAGCAAAATTATCAGGTATAACCAGTCCTCAGAGAGTGTGAGCTGAGAGGAATGGCGATTGAAGACCCTCTGGAGGTCCACATATTTCCTATCACAAATATAGAATGTCAAGAGTTTTTGTTTTTATTGGGTGGTGGAGGGAGGTTGTTGGTAGCATTGCTAAGATTCATCAGGAGTTTTTAAGAAAAGCAAGTTAATTTGTTTTTTTATGAATTATTTCTCTAGTAGCTCAATAAAAATGTTTTTCCTTAGCTCTTTGACAAAATCCAGTGCCTGTACAAAACCCACCATCACAACCAAAGCTGTTGAGACCTCAGAGTTCAGAAAGGCTACCAGCAATGGTATTGCTAAAGAACTCAAATCCACATCCACAGAACTTTTGCTAGAACCCAAAGAGAGGCCAGTTGGGAAGAAAGAGATTCCATTGGCTTCACCCAAAGAAACCAAACAGAATGCATTAGAAAAGGTGAAAGAACCAACTACAGAGCCACCTAAAGAAAAAGGAAGAGGTTATCGGGTCTTGCAAACCTCGTCAAGCACCATAACATTACAGTCTGTTAAAGTACAAACGGGACCAAAGGTGGACTTGAAATCAAGTTTCCCTGGAAAGGAAGAGGATGTGAAAAAGACAAAGTATCCGTCAGTATCAGGTTGGCAGGCTACGTCTTCAACCAGGTTGGGTGGTCTGAGGACTAAGGAGCGGGAAGACCATGCTAAATTAAAGAAAAGCATGACTGATGTAAGCAGAGAGCCTCAAGGGATCCCTCCCCAGTTTGAATGTCGCCCACAAAGCCAAGAAGCAATGGAAGGAGAAGAGGTTACATTCAGATGCAAAGGTAAAGTCGAGGTTTACTTTTGTTTTTGTTGGAGGTTGTAAAGCAGGAGTGGCCACCTGTCACAGATGCTGTAAGAGAGAGAGAGAGAGAGAGTGTTTTGACAGCCTAGATGACCCTTGAGGCCCCTTACACTTTTATAATGAAATCACATATACTTTAGGCCTGGGATACATCTCTGGGTAAAGTTGTGAGATAGTGAAATGAACTGTCCTGCTGAGATTTCAGGTGTAGGATTCCATTTAGGAAAGCTTCCCAGCATTTAAAAAAAAAAGCACAAAACACCTCCCTACATGCAGAAAACTGGAACTGTAGTAAATGCTGGGTTTGAATCCTGGTCCCCAGAATGCTAGTCCATCACTCTATCCACTATACCAGTGGTTCTTAACCTTTGTTACTCGGATGTTTTGGAACTGCAACTCCCAGAAACCCCAGCCAGCACAGTTGGTGGTGAAGGCTTCTGGGAGTTGCAGTCCAAAACTCCTGAGTAACCCAAGGTTAAGAACCAGTGCACTATACCACACTAGGTTTCATACGCTTAAGACTTTCAAATGTAGGTCATTAACCCTCTTTGTTAAATAAAATCAACCATCATGTGGCTTATTTTGCTGCTGTATAATAAGAATTTGTGCCTTTTTTGAAGCAACATCATTTGTCCCATTTTTTTAAATTTGTCCTCAGTTTTTGAAGAAACACGGAAGAATAAAGATCCGAGCAAAAGCTTCTTTCCATGAATCGTGAATTGTACACGAGTTGCCTTTTTAAAGCCATGTCCCCACTATAGAATTTGCCTTTAGTTAAAATATGAATAAAACCTTTCTGTGAAGCAAGCCATTAAAGATGAGTTAGGCGTATCAATCAATATTTTCTACCCTAATTCTCTCTTGCACCCTAAGAATGCTCAAATTATTTTTATGGTAAACATAATCTTCTCATATTCTTGCTACTAAAGAAAATAATAACCAACATTATACAACCCTCTCTAAACCAGACAGCATGGTCGATATTTTAGCTTCCATAATAATGAGTGAGCCATGTGTTTTCTTGCTAACTTAAAATGTTTCTAGGCAGAGTGTTCCAATGAAGAGGTGCTAATACAGGTTTTTCTACCAGTTTTCCATAATGAATTTCCCTGGTAAGAACAAAGACAAAAGAAACGGTGGGAAAAGGTTTTTTTGAGAAGGTTGCAAGTTGAAAGCATTCTTGTTTAAATGTCCCATAAATTGGCATATTATAATTGCATGTGAAAAGCCTCATCTGGAAGCTTTCTTAGAAAGTTTCGAAGTTGGTAAATGCTGTTAATAATTTTTCCTTCAAAATTTAACGAATAAATAAATGGTAAAGTGTAGACGTGAAGAGACTCCTACTAATAATCCACTTGTGACTTACTAGTTTCAGGAAAGCCCAAGGCAAGTGTCGAATGGTTCAAAGAAGGAGCCCAATTAGAAGCTGGAGGTGGGATCCAGATCTACGAAGAGGATGGGATCCATTGTCTGTGTCTGAAAAAGATCCAGCTGGAAAACAGTGGGTCATATCGTTGCACAGCCAGCAATACTCGTGGCCAGGCTTCAACCAGATGGATATTAACTGTAAAAAGTATGGAAATTCTTAAAACGGCATAATTGTTTGGGTGTCTTGGCAAATACAGAATATGGGTGACCTCTTTACTGATCCGAGAGAGAAGGTAAAGGTAAAGGTTCCCCTTGACAATTTTTGTCCAGTCGTATTCGACTCTAGGGGCGGTGCTCATCCCCGTTTCCAAGCCATAGAGCCAGCGTTTGTCCGAAGACAATCTTCCATGGTCACATGGCCAGTGCGACTTAGACACGGAACGCTGTTACCTTCCCACTGAGGTGGTCCCTATTTATCTACTCGTATTTGCATACTTTCAAACCGCTAGGTTGGCGGGAGCCGGGACAAGCGACGGGCGCTCACTCCGTCACGTCGATTCGATCTTACAGCTGAAGATCTATAGACCTTACAGCACAGAGGCTTCTGTGGTTTAACCCGCAGCGCCACCACGTCCGAGAGAGAAGCTTATCTGTAAATATTAATTTGACTAGTCTGCTCAGTGTACTCTGGAACTTCCTCCTATGGGAGACCCCGCTGGCCATCTCCTGGCTGGAGGCCAAGGCCTTCCTTTTCAGGCTGGCTTTTAACACATAAACTGCTGGTGAATATGAGATTTTAAGGGGAGGATGGTTCTTTTATCTTCTAGATGAGATATTTTATTCTGCCAGGATTTTATTTTGTACCTTTTCATAACTGATATGTTAATTTCTTTTCATAATGTGATTTTTAAAATTATTCTAATATTTGTGTTTTTAAATCTTTTGTAAGCTGTCCTGAATCCCTTTGCAGGGGGAAAGGCAAAGCAGAAATCAAATGAAAATACATACATACATACATACATACATACATACATACATACATACATACATACATACATACATACACACACACACGCGCGCACACACACACACACACACATTGCATTTGCATGCTTTCGAACCGCTAGGTTGGCGGGAGCTGGGACAAGCGACAGGAGCTCACTCCGTCGTGTGGATTCGATCTTACGACTGCTTGGTCTTCTGACCCTGCAGCACAGGCTTCTGCGGTTTAGCCCGCAGCACCACCACGTCCCTTAACAGTGCCTAGCCCGCCATTTTTCTACAAAGCTCCAACCATATTGGCAAAACACTTGTTATATTTCTCTGTAGCCTAGAGATGATTTTTCCATTTTGGTTACAGCTTACCAACTTTGCATTTTCTTACCTGTCTGTTAGTAGCATATCTTTGGTTTATCTTGTAGGGCCTAAGGTGAAGGACGTGGCTCCCCATTTTTCCAGTGTGTTGAAATCATGCAGTGTGAGTGAAGGACAGGATTTTGTGCTCCAGTGCTCAGTTGAAGGTTCACCAATGCCTCAAATCACTTGGCTTCTCAATGGTAAGGCACCTCTTCACAGTTAACAAATGTACATATGGGGAAAGAATGGCCACTTCATGCGTTTTAATCCTTTATTAAATCATGATAATTCAGGCCCCATGCATACCATTACCAAATCTTTATAATGGGTATAATTATGTAAGCTCTTGTTTGGTAGAAGCATAGGACGCTGCCTTCTGCTAAATCAGAAAAATAGCCCATCTAGCTCCATATTGTCTACAGTGACTCTCCAGCTTCTGAAACCATGTTGGTTGGCTATATACTGAGTTAAATTCTCCAGTGATCTGATTCCATAGAAGATAGATTCTTACCTTCCTATAAGTTTAAGGGTAGATGCAGCTACCTACAGCTGACTGAATAGCTCAGCGAGTTAGGTATCTGGCTGCAGAGCCAAAGGTTGAGAGTTCAGTTTTCCAGTGTTGTCTCCCAATAGAAGAGCCCACCTGTATGGACCTGGGCAAGTTACAGAATCCCAGAGCATCCCCAGAAGAAGGGAGTGGGAAACCTAGAAAACCCTGGAAGGGTTGCCCATAAGTTGGAATTGACTTGATGGATTGATGCTGTTGTGAGTAGCTTAGCAGAACTGCTCACATGAACCTTGGAGCAGCTCTCTCTTTTTTCATATTTGTGGAGTGTGTTCTGTGTGAGATTTGACAAGGTGTTCTGGAAAGCAACTTTACTGCTGTTTTGAAGGTTGTCCAGCAGGGGCCATTTGTGACAAGGCTGGATTTTAGGCTATTGGCTTTAGAGAATGGGGAGAGAAAGAGAGAGAGGATTTACTGTTTGTTTACTGAGTGTAATATTGTGCTATCTTTTCTCCTTTACCATAAATTCTCCCAAATGGGGAAAAATTATGAGCCTAAGCACTTGAAGGAGTAGTACCCTACTGACATTATTTGAAACAGAAGATCCCTTCATGCATTATTTGACTAAAAGAGTCCTGCAAGTAGAGTGGGAAGCAAGGCCATGCTGCTGACCTGGGTCCATGGGACAAATCTTCACATTAGGCTGAGTTTGCTTTGCCCACTATTGCTATAGACAAAAGAATGGTTATAATGCCTAGAGATTTTTCAACTCCATCCCTTAGAGATCTGTCCATTTACCCTGGAAGGTACAGTTCTGCTGCCCTGTAGAGTTGTTTTGTGTAACACCTTGTCCCTTTGGTATTCGATGTTCAAAGTACTCCACGCTGAAAGTTTCTGATAGCAAGAAGGAGGCAGTTTTGGACCAACAAGCTTCGAAATGATTTATGGCTTTGGAACAGAAAGATTAAAGTATTCCGTCTGTTTGTCCGCTGGCAGGCAGAGATGGTTTTAAGTAACAGAAATGTAAGAAACATGTAATTCTGAAGTGAAGTCAGGGACTTTGTGTCTCTATCTGCAACACATACACATGTTAACTTCCATTCCCAAGTCCCAGAGCTCACAAATAACCATTGTCTCCCTCACTTCTGATTATGATGCATAACTGTTTATATATCATTTAAAAACAGACTGAGGTAGATTATAAACTGTAGATGAATGCTGTGATTCCTTGCAACTTTTCATCCAGTACCTTGTTGTACACAGTTTTGCTTGAGGATCGTGCTGGTTAATTGTGATGTCCTTGTGAATGCAAACAGGCTTCTCCGTACTGTCAAAGAAGGATGCATTGCAGGAAAGGATAGCTGTCCATAACCAAATAAAGGAGAAAGTTGCATTCCTGATCTGTGACTGCCAACTCCCAGGCATGCTGAACAGAGCTCACAGGAAAATGGTGCGCAGTACAGAACAGCACTTTTAAGCAAGATGATATTGATCACTAGGGTGGGTCTTGCTTGGTATTTGGAATGTGCAAATAAGAATACTTCCATATTGGGTCAGACCTTGAACCAGCAATTTTAAACTGCAGTAAACCTCAGTAGCATTGTAGTGCATAAATGGCTCTTGCTTAATGCCCTCAACTTATGTCAGAAAATGCCTGTCAGCAACATTGTCCTAAGATGTTTTGCTGTCTGATGCAAAGGACAGGATAGTGCACTTCTCATTCAATGAACAAAAGCTAACCAGGCTGGTACTTGAACCTTCCCGTGAAACATGGGCAAAGGAGCAGGGTCCTCCATAATACCTCCACAGGTTAATTTAGGGGGCACAGAAGAAGCTGTGTGACATATACAACCTTGTTCTTTATGACAGGGTAACAGGGTCAGGAGGTACAACTGGTGGCTGCCAGTGCTGCCCCTGGTATTTGCTACTCAAGGCGATGCCTCGGGGTAAGGTTAGCACTTCCTGTCAGAATCTCCAACACAGAATCAGAACTTTGGGGCAGGAAGGCAAAATTCAAGGCAACTTATATAAAGCACAGTTAAGATGTATTCTAAGTCTGTATTCTCCACCCATTTTCAGGATGTGGAAAATAGGTAGAAGATAAAGATCTCTTCCTAATGGGCCTAATGAGTGTCTCCTTGAGGGCAGAAGGAAACCTGCCCTCAAGGAAAGACCCATTGATTATTACAGTGCCCCATTCCGTTGTTGTAGGCCTGGCTGCTTTGATTAGCCAGGCCGGGCAAGGATCAAGGGAGAAGGTGGTGGCACGGCAGCGATCAAGCACCCTGGCCACAGAATCAGGCGTAACTGGCTGAAAGGAGTCAAGTTACCGGGCAAGACAGAGCGCTGGACATCTCTGCTCGACTCACTGTGTTCAAAAAAGGAGAGAGGTCGCGGCGGATGGCCTCCACTTTAGATTTTAAAAATGCTGCAAATTGGTCCGGTGAAAAACTAGGGGGAGGCCCGTCACTCGGACCAATTCCGGATAGGTCACGCACTATACGGAATAATTCCTCCTGCTGGTTGGACACTTCGCTTATCCAGTTAGCGAAGTATGCTCGACTGGCAGCCTTTACCTTAGCCAGGTAAAGGTTAGTAGCGACCTTGACAGCTATCCAGTTATAATCCGTCGGGTCCTTTCTCCATTTGCACTCTAGCCATCTCCTAAATCGCTTCAACTCCCGGAGGTCCTGGTTAAACCAGGGAGCCGGGTGGGCTCTGCACTGGAGGGGGCGTTTAGGTGTGATCGTGTCTACAGCGAACCAGCCATCAGCCAGAGCCTCAACAGGAACGCCAGCCAGGTCAGCCGTAACACCTCTCATAGCATCCTGTAATCCAGCTGGACCCAGTAGCCTTCGACGGCGGACCATAACAATAGGTCCCTGCGAGGGGGGAGAGCCATTTTGAGGGTACATTTTATTAGGTGGTGATCTGACCATGACAAGGGTACCGACTCAAGGTCAGTCACCATCGGACCACTCTCGCTCCCATTGGAGGAAAAAACCAGGTCAAGTGTGTGGCCACGCCACGTGGGTGGGGCCATTGACATGTTGGGACATGTTCAAGAAG